ACGCACCGTAACAGAGGGGAGGTGACGCACCGTAACAGAGGGAGTGTTGGGTGACGCACCGTAACAGAGGGAGTGTTGGGTGACGCACCGTAACAGAGGGAGTGTTGGGTGACGCACCGTAACAGAGGAGTGTTGGGTGACGCACCGTAACAGAGGGAGTGTTGGGTGACGCAACTGTAACAGAGGGAGTGTTGGGTGACGCACCGTAACAGAGGGAGTGTTGGGTGACGCACCGTAACAGAGGGAGTGTTGGGTGACGCACCGTAACAGAGGGAGTTAGTGACGCACCGTAACAGAGGAGTGTTGGGTGACGCAACGTAAGAGGGAGTGTTGGGTGACGCACCGTAACAGAGGGAGGTTGGGTACGCACCGTAACAGGGGAGTGTTAGGTGACGCACCGTAACAGAGGAGTGTTGGGTGACGCACCGTAACAGAGGGAGGTTAGGTGACGCACCGTAACAGAGGGTGTTGGGTGACGCACCGTAACAGAGGGAGGTTGGGTGACGCACCGTAACAGAGGGAGTGTTGGGTGACGCACCGTAACAGAGGGAGTGTTGGGTGACGCACCGTAACAGAGGAGTGTTGGGTGACGCACCGTACGGAGGGTGTGGTGACGCACCGTAACAGAGGAGGTAGGGTGACGCACCGTAACAGAGTGTTGGGTGACGCACCGTAACAGAGGAGTGTTGGGTGACGCACCGTAACAGAGGGAGTGTTGGGTGACGCACCGTAACAGAGGGAGGTTGGGTGACGCACCGTAACAGAGGAGTGTTGGGTGACGCACCGTAACAGGGAGTGTTGGGTGACGCACCGTAACAGAGGAGTTAGGTGACGCACCGTAACAGGGTGTTGGGTGACGCACCGTAACAGAGGGAGTGTTGGGTGACGCACCGTAACAGGGAGTGTTGGGCACGCCCGTAACAGAGGGAGTGTTGGGTGACGCACCGTAACAGAGGAATGTTGGGTGACGCACCGTAACAGAGGGATGTTGGGTGACGCACCGTAACAGAGGGAGGTAGTGACGCACCGTAACAGAGGGAGTGTTGGGTGACGCACCGTAACAGAGGAGTGTTGGTGACGCATCGTAACAGAGGAGTGTTAGGTGACGCAACGTAACAGAGGGAAGGGTTGGGTGACGCACCGTAACAGAGGGAGTGCTGGCTAACGGTAACAGAGGAGTGCTGGGTGACGCACAGTAACAGAGGAGTGTTGGGTGACGCACCGTAACAGAGGAGTGTTGGGTGACGCACCGTAACAGAGGGAGTTGGGTGACGCACCGTAACAGAGGGTGTTGGGTGATACCTAACAGAGGGAGTGTTGGGACGCACCGTAACAGAGGAGTGTTGGGTGACTCACTGTAACAGGGGGAGTGTTGGGTGACGCACCGTAACAGAGGGAGTGTTGGGTGACGCATAGTCTCTCACCAAAACACTCCCCAATGCATACGAATACTGTTCCACCATCACCACACCCACCTATCTCCGCCCACCTCGACAGTATACCAATTCAACGCCCACCCCAACATACCACCCACCACCACACCCACGAACTGATCGCTGTAAGAACAGCCCAGTCCCAACCATTGTAAAATTATCAATAATTTGTAATCAACCAGGTGTTCACTGAAATACCTGCATTCTTTTGCACCTGGTTACCTCATCGCCCAAACCCCATGTTACTTTGTATATTAAAATCAGGACCTATTCCAATTGTAACTGTTATATTTCATCCCCGGCTGCTGTTTTCAATAAACTAGTTATATAATTATTATTATTATTATTATTATTATTATTATTATTATTGTTATTATTATTATTATTATTGTTATTAGTAGTGTAGTAGTAGTAGTAGTAGTAGTGCCCCAATGGGAAGTGGACAAGAAGTTAATAAGATCCGGGGTCCATTACAACAGATCAGCACACGCCAAAATGACATGTTGCAGCAACTATTGCTGCAGGGTCAGAAGTGGCAAAAAAGTAGCTGGTAAGCGCAGGAGGTGGGCGCCTCAACTGGTTAACTACGTTACCGATAGCAAAGTTTCAGCCTTAACAAACAAGAATTTACAGATGCCATTGCCTAAGGTACGGTTGGCCAGTGGATGGTTTACTTCTCCAATGGCCTCGCGATGGCGATCACGCCATGTCTATAAGAAGGGCCTATGGCATGAGTGGTTCACTACCTGCTGGTTCACCAGGTGGTTCACCCGGTGGTTCACTCCTGGTGTCACTACTCAGGTTCACTCCTGGTGGTTCACCAGGTTCCTCACCAGGTTAAGGTTCAGTACCAGTGGTTCACTACCTGCTGGTTCACTACCAGGTGGTTCACTACCAATAAGGTTAAGGTAGTGGCGTTGGCAGCGCAGCAGCAAGCCTTCAGTTGGTAACTGGACTCGGTGAAGGTTGGGTGACGCCTGTGTTGGAGGCCGTGTGGAGGGCCGCGGTGGACCGTTTGTGGTGAAGGAGAGAGGATGGAGGGCGGAGGAAGAGATATGGAGGCGCGAGGAGAGGCGGAGGAGGCGAGGAGAGAGTGGATGGAGGCGAGGAGTGATGGAGGGCCAGGAAGAGTGATGGAGTGCTGAGTGAGAGAGTGATGGAGGCGAGAGAGAGATGGAAGGCGAGGAGAGAGGAGTTGATGGGCGAGAGAGTGATGGAGGCGGAGAGAGACTAGTGCGTTTACAGGGGCTCGTTTACTGGGGCTCGTCCCACAAACTACATTGAGATTTATTTTAATATTGTTTTAATTTGATTCCATAGTATGTTTACTATTGTGAGTTTCCTTCTGTTGAATGTAAACAAACACAACTCTGCCACACTGCAACGATAACGTGGATAAGATAAATCTTGATAAAATCACGGAAGAAACATAACAAATCTTTATTCAAGATTACCTCTGATATATATATATATATATATATATATATATATATATATATATATATATATATATATATGTGTGTGTGTGTGTGTGTGTGGGACTCACCGAGTTCGATCCTCGGGCAGGTGAAACTATGGGCAAGTTTCCTTACGCCATTTGCCTCTGTCTACCCAGTAGCAATTTGGGATCTGGATGTTAATCAATTTGCGGATCGTATTCCGGGGTAATGGTTAGCCAGTGCAGTTGGCGAGTTGTCCGGTTTTCTCGGACTATTCCTTGACACTGGGTCATGCAGCTCGTTAACTCAGGGTGTGGTGTTGGCGACAGCTTCTACACCTTAAACAAATACACGCCGAGGTGGACCTTGGGCTGGCCACCGTCGTTACACGAGGGGCAACCGTTGTTTATTATTATGTACAGTATGTGTGTGTGTGGTACGCATATGTGTGTGTGTGTGTGGTACGCATATGTGTGTGTGTGTGTGTGTGTGTACTTCACATATGAATGAGAGGCCGGGGCGAGGCCGTGAGACCGTTGCCAGAGGTCGCCATACACGTCGCCTACACACATGGCAACAGTTTTGACAGTGTGACATATTTAGAGTCAAACCAAGTATAGATAATATAACAAGCGTGTGAAGGAGTTAATAAGGAACAGGTAGAGATAATGTAATGTTCCAAAAGTTATTTAATTAGCGTTTGTATATGGATTTGTAATGGTGGAATTGTCATGTAGGTAAGACGCTTACTGTTGTCATTTTGTTATTTTCCATCGTTGTTGTTAAGTAAATATGTAATGTTTTTGTTTAACTGTTTATTCGTTAACATTTAATACCAGAAGCGCATAATGTAAAACATTATTTTATCCAGTAGTGAACAGCGTGCCGTCAGCCGCGAGGTTAGTAATTATGTTTGAGTGGCGGAAGATAAAGATTGGCTCCACAGTATTTGGTGAATCACTGACATGTTTCTTATCATCCTGGCTGATGTGTGTGTGGGGGCTGATGTGTGTGTGTGGGGCTGATGTGTGTGTGTGTGGGGCTGATGTGTGTGTGTGGGGATTGATGTGTGTGTGTGGGGCTGATGTGTGTGTGGGGATTGATGTGTGTGTGTGGGGCTGATGTGTGTGTGGGCGGGCTGATGTGTGTGTGTGTGTGGCTGTCTTTGGAGAGGATTATAACAGCGGCTGTCAGTGGTGAAGTGTTGTGGGGCGTCTGTCAGTGGTGAAGTGCTGTGAGGCGGCTGTCGGTGGTGGTGAAGTGCTGTGAGGCGGCTGTCGGTGGTGAAGTGCGGCTGTCGGTGGTGAAGTGCTGTGAGCTGTTGGTGAAGTGCTGTGAGGCGTCTGTCGGTGAAGTGTTGTGGGGCGGCTGTCAGTGGTGAAGGTTGGGCCGTCAGTGGTGAAGTGCCGTGTGTGCAGTGTTGAGGCGGGCTGTCGGTGGTGGAGTGTTGCGAGGCGGCTGTCAGTGGTGGAGTGTTGCGAGGCGGCTGTCGGTGGTGTAGTGTTGAGGCGGCTGTCAGTGGTGGAGTGTTGCGAGGCGGCTGTAGGTGGTGAAGTATTGTGAGGCGGCTGTCAGTGATGAACTAATAATAAGTGTTATAAAATAAATACTGTAAGTGCATTAACAGAGACGGAAACTTGTCGTAATGGAGAGCAGTTGGATATAATGATGTCTTACCTTCAGAAACTCTTAAAGAAAACTCATTTACATATTTAACTCGTAGGAATTAAATGTTAAAGTGTCAAGACTAATTAAATTAAAAGATATTAAGACAACAAAACTCTATGCATTGGAAGCAAACAACTTGATTAGCGCTCTGCCTCTACAAACACCAACTGTCACCGTCAAGAGTGTCTCTCACATGTTGAAATGTTCACGTCCCCCGCCCGTGCCTACCGCAGGATGTGAGCCTCGCTGGCGTGTCTGCCCGACCACACAGACATTAAACACCTGGGCAATTTACCCCTCGTGACCATGAAGATGCGGGTGTGTAGCATGGGCGTGGAGAGCGGCGTGAGTGTGGAGAACGTGGAGGACGGCGCTCTGGGGAGCCCTGGGGTGACAGAAGCCTCCAAGGTACGCTTCTCCGTACCCTCTATGGAGTTCGTCTGGGAGACAGACGCTGATGGTAAGTTGTCCTCAGGGAAACACCCCTGTGTCTCCTCCCCTTGTCGGATTTATTAGGACATAGTCCCCCTTCCTCTACAACACCCACATACAAGAGTATCTGGGAGGACCCTTCACTTCTATCTGAAAATTCCATCTCTCAGAACTTTGTTTATACCCTGGACTAGTGCTGTGTGTAACCCCCCGCTACACACTGTTTCTCCTGTAATATACAGTAATTATAACCTCTAACAGTTTAAATCATTCTGCTTCATCAGTGTAAGACACTTCGGGGCACCTCTCGCTGCCTTGTGTATTTGGTAAAAGAAAAAATAAATGTTTGGATAACATGCACAAAATGTTAAAGCATCGTCCTTAAAATGTTAAGCCATTATCCTCAAAGTGTTAAACCATCGAATCCAGGAAAAAAGTCACAAGAAAAAAGTCACAAGAAAAAAGTCACCAGAAAAAAAGGCACGGAAAAAACCTAACCTAACCTAACTTAACCTACTGCAATGCCATCATATATATATTGTGTTGTCAATGTGTACAAGTCATGTGATTTCTTTCCTGTGAGTTTATTTCCGTTCACCAAACCATCGTCCTCAAAATGTTAAACCATCGTCCTTAAAATGTCGAAGTCTTTAACATGCTAGGGGAACATGTGAGCACGGGGATCGAGGAGACTGCAGTGGGAGCGGGTAAACAAAATGAAAAGTTACAGAGAAATAGTGCAATGATGACAAAACTAAATTAGGCTGGGAGTTAAAACCTAAGCGCGTCAAAGAGAGGACTCAGAACACGACTAACTTAAATGTCTACTACGCAAACAGTAGAAATGTGAGCAACAAAATGAATGAAATCAGAGACGTAGACTGAGAGGCGATATGATAGAGGTGTATAAATGGAAGTCGGGGCTTAACAAAGGTGATATAATAAAGGTACTCAAACTATCCAATCAGGAGCGAACTCGTAACAATGGTTTTAAATTAGACATTTAGGATTTAGGCGCGAGATAGGTAAACACTGGTTGGAAATAGAGTAGTGGACGAGTGGAACAAGTTACCCAACATCATCATTAACTCGAATACGCTGAATAGCTTCAAACATAGGTTGGGTGGATATGTGAGCACTAGGGGTTGGGTGTAATTGGGACTGTCCAGTATAGGCCAATAGTCCCGCTGCAGTTTCCTCCATTATTATATTCCTATGTAGAAGTAATTGTGAGTTTATTTCACTTTATAAACTAAGTAACAATAGTGAGTTTGTATATAACAATTTTATCTATTATTGAATGTAATATTTACCACTTAATTGTATTTCATCAAGAATTAAACTTACTCAAAACTTCATTGGCTAGCACCCAGTGTTGGGAGAGGGAGAGTTAAGAGAGGGTTGGAGAGGGAGAGTGTTAAGAGAGGGTTGGAGAGGGAGAGTGTTGGAGTTGGCCGTAAGGAAGAGATGTGGGTTGAGGTCTCCTAAGCAAGACAGAGGTGACCAAGGTGGACAGAGGTGACAAAGGTGGACAGAGGTGACCAAGGTGGACTGGAAGAACGTAGAAATCGCTATTATTATCTTTACTTGGTAATGTAGTATTGAATCTTTGTGTTAGGAAGGGTCTTTATGTATTAGGGAGAGTCTTTATGATTTGAGGAGGGTCTTTATGAATTGGGGGTCTTTATGATATGGGGGATCTTTATGGGGACTTTTATAATGATATGGGGATCTTTATTTATGACATGGGGGATCTTTATGATATGGGGGTCTTTATGATATGGGGATCTTTATGATATGGGGGATCTTATGATATGGGGATCTTTATGATATGGGGGATCTTTATGATATGGGGATCTTTATGATATGGGGGATCTTTATGATATTGGGGATCTTTATGATGATATGGGGGATCTTTTATGATATGGGGGATCTTATGAATGGGGGGATTATGATATTGGGGATCTTTATGATATGGGGATCTTTATGACTTATATGGGGATCTTATGATATGGGGGGATCTTTATGATATGGGGGATATCTTTTATGATATGGGGATCTTTATGATGGGGATCTATGATATGGGGGGATCTTTAGATCTTTATGATATGTCTTTATGATATGGGGATCTTTATGATATGGGGGTCGATATGGGGATCTTATGATATGGGGGTCTTTATGATATGGGGATCTTATGATAGGGGATATGGGGTCTTATGATATGGGGGATCTTTATGATATGGGGGTCTTTATGATATGATGGGGATCTTTGATATGGGGATGATGGGGGGTCGTTATGATATGGGGGTCTTTTAGATATGGGGGGATATGATGGGGGATCTTTATGATATGGGGGGTCTTTATGATATGGGGGTCTTATGATATGGGGGTCTTTATGATATGGGGGATTTTATGATATGGGATCTTATGATATGGGGATCTTTATGATATGGGGGGTCTTTATGATATGGGGTCTTTATGGGGGCTTTATGATATGGGGGATATGGGGGGTCTTATGATTGGGGAGGGTCTTTATATGGGGGATCTTTATGTGTTGGGGAGGGTCTTTATGTATTGTGAGGTCTTATGTGTTGGGGTTTTATGTATGGGGTTGTTGGGATATGTGGGGTGAGGCACCAGGGTGTGGGGGTGAGGCACCAGCGTGGGAGGGGGAGGCAAGCTGTGTGGGGTGAGTGGCACCAGCTGGGGTGAGGCACCAGCTGGGGGATGAGCACCAGCTGGGGTGAGGCACCAGCTGTGTGGGCCCACCTTACAAACGGTGTACCTGGCCTTGGCAGGGAGGTTGTGGGGGAGGGGATGTGTGGGAGAGGGAGGTGTTGTGGAGGAGGTAGGTGTTGGGGAGAGGGAGGTGTTGGGGGAGGGAGTGTGTTGGGGGAGGGAGGTGTTGTGGGGGAGGGATTGTTGTGGGGAGGGAGGTTGTGGGAGGTGAGGTTGTGGGGGAGGTGAGGGGAGGGGAGGTGTTGGGGGAGGGAGGTGCTGTGGGGGAGTGGGGGAGGTGAGGAGGGGTGGGGAGGGAGGTGTGGGGGAGGGAGGCAAGGGGGGGGGTGGTGGTGGGAGGCAGGAGGTGGGGGGGGGGGGGGAGGTGCTGTTGGTGGGGGAGGTGGTTGGGGGAGGGGGTGGTGTGTGTTGGGGGAGGGAGGTGGGGGGGGGAGGTGGGGGGAGGGACAAGTCAGGGGAGGGAGGTGGCTGGGGGAGGATGTGGGGGGAGGAGGCTGTGGAGGAGTGGGGAGTGGGGGAGGGAGGTGTGGTGGGGGAGGGAGGTGTTGCTGGGTAGAGGGAGGTGTTGGGGAGGAGGGAGGGGAGGGAGGCTGGGGAGGATTGTGTGGGAGGGATGTGTTGTGGGGAGGGTGCTGTTGGGGAGGAGTGTGAGGGGGAGGAGGGAGGTGTTGTTGGGGGGGAGGGGATGTGTTGTTGTGGGGGAGGGGATGTGTTGTGGGGAGGGAGGTTGTTGTTGGGGGAGGGAGGTGTTGTGGGGAAGGAGGCTGTTGGGGGAGGGAGGCTGTGGGGGAGGGAGGTGTTGGGGAGGGGGTGTTGTGGGGGGAGGGATGTGCAGGGGGTGTGGGGGTTGGGATGTGTTGGGGGTTGGGAGGTGTGGGGGGAGGGAGGTGTTGTGGGGGGGGAGGGGGAGGGAGGGATGTGTTGGGGGAGGGAGGCTGTTGTCGGGGAGGAGGCTGTTGTGGGGGAGGGATGTGTTGGAGGTGGGGAGGGAGGTGTTGGGGGAGGGGGGTGTTGTGGGGGAGGGATGTGTTGGGGGGAGGGGGGGGTGTTGGGGTTGGGATGTGGTTGTGGGGAGGGAGTGTTGTGGGGAGGGAGGTGTTGGGGGGTTGTGGGGGGGGAGGGGAGGTGTTGTGGAGGGGAGGGATGTGTGGGAGGGGTGGGGGAGGGAGGTGTCAGGGGGAGGGAGGTGTTGGGGGGGAGGTGTTGTGGGGGGAGGGATGGTGGGGGGTGTTGGGTGAGGGAGGTGTTGTGGGGGAGGGAGGTGTTTTGGGGGAGGGAGGGATGTGTGGGAGGTGTCAGGGGGAGGGAGGTGTTTGGAGGAGGGGGTGGGGAGGGGGTGTTGGGGAGGGATGTGTGGGGGAGGGAGGCTGCTGTGGGGGAGGAGGTGTGGGGAGGAGGTGGGGGAGGGGAGGGGGTGCTGGGGGAGGGGGTGGTGGGAGGAGGGAGGAGGGAGGTGTTGCCAGGGGAGGGGATGTGGTGTTGGGGGGAGGTGGTGTGGGGAGGGGATGTGTCAGGGGGAGGGGGGTTGTGGAGGAGGGATGTGTTTTGGGGGAGGGATGTGGGGGAGGGGGTTGTTGTGGGGGAGGGGTTGTTTGTGGGGGAGGGAGGTGTGGGGGAGGGAGGTGGTGGGGAGGGGGGTGTTGTGGGGAGGGAGGTGTTGATGGAGGTGGGAGGGGGGGTGTTGTGGGGAGGGATATGTTTGGGGGATGGAGGTGTTGTGGGGGAGGGAGGTCTTGGGGGGGAGGGAGGTGTTGTGGGGAAAGGAGGAGTTGTGGGGGAGACGGCGGTGTTGTGGGGGAGACGGAGGTGTTGTAGGGGAGGACATTTTTGTTTTTAATTTTGCCGATGACACCATTTAGTTTATTGTGCACATTATATTCACCCTGTGAGCGGTAGCACAAAAGGGATAACAGAATATAGGCCACAAAAGGTGTTAATCAAACCCCAGTGATTTTGATATTATGGCAATGAATATTACAGAGTATTTCCTGTACCTTGTTTGTTTACATCGGTACATAGAATTTTGATTAGGTACTAGACGGGAATTATGGATACAGCCTTAGTATATCAGCTATCTTGTCATCAGATATAAAGTGCTGTGCCATTGATTACACGCTGCACTTGGATCTATCCCTGTAAGGGTGCGTCTTCACTTGAGCATTTTAGCCGGAACGAACCAAACGAGCAGATAACGCACGAAGGAACCGAACGAGCAGTTTGAGTGCAAGTTCTCTGTATTCTGTGTGTTCGACGGTGCTCGTCTTATTCCCACCGTTTTCCTCAGTTGAA